AGCACATCAGCGACGGATTCATGAGGACGAGTATAAGTGGGACTGTCCAAATGGGTAGAGAGGTGAAACAAATACCAATTCTTGCAACAAATTGCCAAATTGTGGGATGATTTGTCCACAGGAACAATATGCTGAAGATAGGCATTCAGATCTGCATGTCGGCAGTTATGGGTTAGGATGAAGATGCTTGTAGCTCTCTCGTTTTTTTCTTTTTGTTTTCTTATGAATACATACAGTGGCACAAGGGGCCTCGCTCCACTACTCACGCACAAAAGACATATCATATGGCGGCGTATGGTTCCACGTTTTAGGCTTTTAGCAGAAAATTCATTCCAATTTCTAATGTTATACATTTGGTGAGCAGTGGAGCTAGGCCCTGAGAATCACGTGGAAACACGAACAGGGTCTAGCTGAATTGGTGACCCATAACGGCCGAGCGACAGACTTGAACTCGAACCCACAGCATATATCGGCGGTCTGCTCCCACCTCTTTCATATACGACGCGGCCATCCTGCTTGTTGAAGCAACGGTCCTCAATGCCACCACAATGTCCACATGCATTGTCGGAGCCATTTGAGTCACCTGCAGGGGCCCTTGAATTGACGTAAAGGGGGCCCTTTGGTCTGTCTCTCTTTCTCTTTCTCTCTCTCTCTCTCTCTCTCTCTCTCTCTCTCTCTCTCTCTCTGTATATACATATATATATATATATATCTGTGGCAGTGTGGCACTAATAAATGTTTTGTTTTTTTTTGTTCTGTAACTTCTGTCTTCTTCTTCTTCTGCTGCTGGTGCTTCTTTTTCTTTTTTCTTTTTCTTTTCCTTTTTTTTTTTGCGTTGCCCCTTCTATTCTGGGAGGCTCAGTCCGGTTGCTCATCACCGGCAAGAATGCTCTTACATCTGAACAGAGGAAGGGGGAAGAACAGACAAGACAGAGGACCAGCCTGTCCCTTGTGGCCCTAGACGCCTGGCAAGGGGAAAGTGTTTTGGAGCAACCCTCCCCCCTATCCTTAGCCTTTCAGGAGGGTTGCCCTACGGGCCGGGAAGCTTACTGGCAGCACCCAGTCATGCAGTACGGCAGCCCTCAGATAGGCAAGGTGAAGGGGGGGGTGCCCTCGTTTTTTTTTGTTTTTTTTTTCCCCGCACACCTTGAGCACCGGCCACAGCGCGTGCACTGCACACAGCGCACAGTGCGCGCGCTGTAATTCCAGCGCACAGCGCGCTGCACACCGGCCCGTACCTATACATGCTTGGGCAGAAATGGTCCACTTCGAGTTCTCACAGACTTTCCAGCCTACCTACCCATGAAAAAATTTTAGGGCACCTCGATTGTCTTCTGACACCTGTATGTGGCACACTTCCTACCAACCCATGGGTTGTCAGCTGCATTGTGCTGACGGACTGACTGCCTACCGACCCATGACAAACTAGGCCTTCTAGACATTCTAACTCACCAGCCTACTGGACGGACCTGCAGGCCTACAGACTGATGTACAGACAGGGCCTATGACACATACAGGTTGGGACTATGATACCCTCGCTTTCAAAGAGTTATGGTAAGATGCGTTTGTACGTCGGGACTATGATATATGTGACACTGGGACTTGGAACTGGGACAGGGACTCTGAGATCCATAAAAAGTCATTTCACTCTCACAAGCCTTAATTCGAGGTCCTCTCTGAGAAAGCTAAGACTTTTCCTTTCGATCGATCTGAAATCCGGATTCCCCTACTTGCTTGTTCCTAGTGTGAGACACTATTCTTGGGGCTGTCTCACTTAAACACCAGTACACCCGCGGCTAAATGTACAAGCCTAAAGTTCGAATGTTGCCAAGCCTGAAAGCGACTGATACCACGACTTGGAAAAATGAGGGCGGTAAAGATATCGGCCTCTGTGCTGGACCTGCTGCCAGAAGATGGACTGAGAGGGAGGCCGGTGTTTTCATTCATTGAGACCCAGCTAAACACCCCCATGAGAAAGCGCTTGCATCTAGGACATTTCGGGCGCAAGATGCAGTAGCCTGATCATGAATGGGTGCCCGTTTTCGGAACGAACGGCAGTAGTAATAATATTTTTTTACAGTTGAAAATAAAATAAAACAGAGGACCTTTTTGCTCCACACGAGACTCCTGTTCTCGTTCTGCAAGAGCCTAGGGGACCTTGAACTGTTTGCTTTTGCAAAAAAGAACATAAAGGAAAAAAGGAAAAAAAAGAAACAAAATCTTAGGGCACCTCGGTTGTCTTCTGACACCTGTATGTGGCACACTTCCTGAGGAGAATACACGGGAGGAATTCCACGGCACTGCCCGTTTTCCTCAACGGCAGTCACTCAAAAAAGGTACGTCACAAAAAAAAAGAAGGTAAGTCAGTCCTTTCTTGTTTCCCCCGCCTCTTTCTGGCCCGGCCAACAAAGCAGGAGCACTTCACTTTTCTGCGCCTGTATGGAGACAAAGAACGGGTGGACATACACATCGAAAACTAGCCTGCGAACCACTACACAGCTGCCCATGGTGGGTGTTTCTGCCCGTTTTCCTCAAGTTCGAGGGCTTTCTGCCCTCCTATTGCGCATGCGCGCCATGTGGGGGGCTTTTGGTCATTCTGTTCTTGTGTTTTAGTTTTTTTTTTTTCCCTTCTTCGATAGCTGACATCGTCTCATCCGTGGATGCGTTTTCACATACACTGAACCCGCAGGCAAAGCAACAGTCCATTTGTCCCCTTTCCTTGGGCCCACCGCCTTCTTCTCTCACTGCACTGCCGCCCTCCCCCGGGCCTGAGAATGCTGAGTAGGCGATAAGATTATTTTTCAGCAAGGCTGGGGCCGTGTACTGGTGGTTTAAGATAGAACTTCGAAGCAGGAGATACCCAGGGTATTGCTTTGGGTTTGCTCTGAGGAACTTCGCCAGAGGCAAAGAACCCATTTGGAAACTGCTGTATGAACTATTAGGAAAGGGCGAGTAGATGTATGCAGCAGTGTAAGTTCGTGATGATTGTGTAGGACTCACTTGCATTTCATGGTTTCGGGTTTTGATGTCTATGAAACTGCGCATTCATTGAACACGGGTTTTGTGTTCAGAAACTGAACGCTTTGAACGCGTGTTCTCAACTTGAACGGATCTGCGGCTGCAAAACAACGGAAAATAAACAGCAAAAAAAAGAAAAATGAAAAAAAAAAAGACTTACCTAAGTCTGTGTGTGTAGGATGGAGATATTGTGTTACTGTACGACTCATCCCTAGAGAAACAATGGTCAAGGAAGCCGGACAAAGGATGGTTGAATCCATACAGAATTACGAGATGTGTGTGCTCGCTCGCTCGCATTTCACACACACACACACATACACCTTTTTTTTTGTTTTTTGTTTTGTTTTGTTTTTT